CAAACTGAGACTTTCACCAGCTAATTTAATTTTTTTATTTTGTATTATTCTTTTTCTTTTTTTTTCATTCATTCATTCATTCATTCATTCATTCATGTTTTTTATTCTTCTTTTTTTTCCCTTCTTTCTTTTTTGGGGGGGTTTTTTTTGGGGGGGGGGGGAGGGGGCCTTTTCCGCTGAGGAGTAATTGAGACTGGGAAGATGGTGGATTCTGCAAGACTTTCTTTGTGAGAGTCGGGAGAAATGAATGGATTTGGACGGTTTGGGAACTGCAATTCATACCTACCTATCACAAGGGAACGGGTATTCTGCCGGTTATCGAGGAATGGTACGTAACTTAACAGACCGGTGGAAGAGCACCTGAAAGGGGGTGACTTAATGGTGGCGTAAGAGTTTACTGCTTGAAGGTCCGAACCCTTCCTGTCCAGACGGGTGTCGAGAACGAGGTGTGGGAAGCGCTGCAGTTTGTGTACCTCGCTCGATTGGACCGTATTATCTCACGCTCCCCCCTCTCTCGGATTCTGGACTTCATCATCATCCCGTCCCGACATCACGAGTGAATGGGCTGACGAAGCAGACGGTTGGCCCACGGTCGACCCACGGTTGACCTGATTTCTTTCCCCCGCATGTATTCCGGGTACTTCGGCTTCAATTGGAAGAAGACCTTCAGCCCGTGAATCTGGAACACTTTCTCCTCAGTGGCAGTGTATTTGACACAAATAACTTTAGTCCTGATTGGCAGAAGAGAAGAAACATGCAGAAACAGGGAGGGTGGATTCCGCGGCTCTGACTGCACTGGGGATCTCCAACGAGCATGAATAAAAAAAAACATGGTTGATTCGTTGGGAAGACACCACTACTCGCATAAGTCGCGTAAGAATACCCCACGGAAACAATCTTGACTGCAACAGACCTTTACCCAAAGCTGCATTTTGCTTCTTGCCGATTTTCACCCCCTCACAAGGCTCTGAAAGCCTCAGGCATATCCAACAGAATATTATCCAAAATAGAAACGGAGCACGAATAAAGAAGGAAGACAAGTGAACATAAGAAATCCTCCCATAAGTAACGAACAAACGGACCAATTTACTCAAAAACCAGACGTCCAGAGGTGCTCTGAAACGTTCCCTGTTGAAATAACGCAGACGAGCTGGTCGATAGCTTCAATCTGTGTCGTCCCGAACCAACAACCTCAGGCCACACTGTCCTTGTAATACTGTTCCAAGGTCTCGAGCGAAGTAGGATGCACCCGGCCAACCTTCATCACCTTGAGATTATCTTCCACCGTATATATCCTCCCGCAGTCCAACCTCGCAATGGGTGAGATGTACTGATCTTCAGCCTCAATAATGATAGCGACTGGCTCACGCGTAATCTTCTCCTCTGGAAATGGGCGAGCAGGCTCAACCGAGGCTTTGTGAAGTACCACGTAGTCCATGTCGCGCCCCCGAGCCGCCTTGTTTGGATTTGTGCTGCTCTTGCCTCCGTAAGTTCCAATGCTGAAGCAGATGGAATGATGGAGACGCCGTCTGACAACCACAAACCATCTATACTTTGCAATGGGTTTCTCCCGAAAGTACCCTTGGATGGTATCCTGCCAGTCTGGAGTGAGCGGTGGTCTGCCAGGTTCTTTCCACCCAGGTTCAAACCACACTGTCTTGAAGATACGACCGATGGAGAAGAAGCGTTTGGGCTTGGAAACCACTTTAAGTCCTGCAGAGACGAGTTAACAGGCAATATTTGAGCCAAGTTAATGATGATACGGAACTCACTCTCATCTAAAGGCCCTGCCCACGGAGGAGCACTTTCGACTGGTGACCTGACAAGATTTCTGGGAATGGATGTATTGGACTCTGATGTCGAGCTCCGTTTAGGAGCTGATATGGTTCCTTGCCTGACCAGAGCCTGGGGCGAACCATTTCCCGACGAATCAGTCTTGGTCGGACTCGGGACACGGCCATCTTTCTGTTTCTGATACTCGGTATAGTAGAGCTTCTCGCCATCTGCTTCACATAAGTTTTTTGGAGACGAAAAAGAGGCGCGAGAGTGAGTTGTGCACTTACTTTCATCGATTCTCGTGTAATCCAGAACGTCAGGATCCCATTTCCATTGATAGCCGTACTCCTTGGTGGGCTGGAAGTACTCTGTGCGGGAGGTATTGCCGTTGGTGTCGATTTTTGGCAGTGCGGTTGAATCGTTCCCAACCTCGGAGCACATGCTCTGGTCATCGTCTGTTGTTTCATCCGGGGTGGGAGCCAACGGCTCTCTCACGACAGTCATTGTCAGGATGAGTACGTCTAGGGATGTGGGATAGAAGTTGAGGGACCAAGGGGACTCTTTTCGAGAGAGCCTCGGAAGGCTCAAAGGCAGGGCATCGGGGAGAATTCAAGCTATACTGTTGCGATAAGTACAAGCCCAATGTCTCGCCGCTATCTGGGTTGATCTGCACAATCCCTTGACTGGTCACATATATGCAATATTTTGATGTGCGTGGGCTGCAGCGGGAAGAGAAAAAAAGCAAGCAATGTAAACTAGTAGGCGAGGCTCTGTGCTTTGGAGGTTGGAGCGGAGAAAAGTACCGGTGGTGTGCACCCGTTAGATTATTGCAATGCAGCGGTTGGGAAAGGAAGCCTCCGCAAGAACCGGGCGACTCAGCAAATAAATTAGAGACCCAGCCTACCAGGCAACCCCACCATCCTCCGTGTGCGTGAAGCGGGCTGAGCAAGAACGCCTGAGGCATACCTCCGTACCACCCACCCTCTTTCAGAAGATTCAATAGGCGATGTTGACTTATTCGCTCCTTCCTGCTGTGGTTCTCTGCACAAATATGGCAGGCGTGGCCCCCAAGATGGGTAGAAGCCTGGAAATCTGCCCAAACTGACCAAGCTTCCAGGTTGTTAACTGCAGACACTACACCCTCATAGGCGCGTAGATGTCTAATTTAGCATTTGCTGCCCAAACGTGATATTTGTCCAGCAACGAAATGGGGGGGTAGGCAGCCATGTTTGCGAGCGCCATTGACAATTACAATTACCGTAATAGGAAAGTGGAACTGTGTGGGACAGGTCACCCCTCCAAGTCATGTCTCGAGATTTCGGCCTATCATTCTCAAAAACTTGATCTTTTTCTGAGCTCGTGCAAAGATCTGATCTTGCTTCCTTTCTTTTTCAACCACTCGAGACCAAAACTTCCAGTCAATCCTGAACACATTCAACAAAGCCGAAATATCACATTTGTCCGATACCGCTTCGGGTGCGGTATTTGGGCAGCCCCCACGACACCAAGTGGCAGCCACAGGATCCAGAGGCGTTAAAGTTGAATCAAAAGAAAAAGCACGCATCTCGATCTACAGTCAGCTTCACTTTCTAAGCCATCCCCTATCCGTGTATCTTCTGCGCTTTCTCCCCTTTCTCTCCTGAATCTTTCATCGACCTCGACCTCAGCCATGCGTATAAAACCCCTTGACCGCTCATGCGGCTCATCTGTGCCACTCTATTGCTCAAGCCATCTCCGGATGACGGCCCGAAACGGACACCGAAGATCTCAAGGTGTGCTGGAAGCGGACGTGCCCCCATTCGGAAGTCATTCCCCATATCTAAGGCCTCCGTTTCCCCACGGCCCGTATGTGCCCGTCTGCGGCCCGTACACATGGAGTAAATCCTTGACTACCGGCATATCCGCAGTAGCTTCAGTCTTGTGACTCTCTCTCTTCACCGCTTATTGGACACTTTTCACATATTGGCTGTTGAGCTTTGATGTCATGCATTCCTGCCTGAATGTGTCGTTCTGACGGTTTCTCTCAACTTCTTGAGGAGCCTTGCTCAAAATATGTCTTGGGCGGTCGTCGAGGGGTTTAGGTCTAAAACGACCATCCCCAACAAAGACAGCCAGTAGGTTTTTGTAATCGTACACTACTTCGCCTTGGGCAGAGTACCTTGTCCCAGCTTCATCGATTCGAGGCAGTTATCCATACAATATATGTATCCCAGAATAAACTCGCCTTTAAAGCACGGCATTATCTTTTCCCTGTGACCTTGACTACACTACCACAGCAAGCTAAACAGGGACAAGGGCAATATTATACTAGCTTTCTCAAACTTTTCGAGTCAGTATTGCCTGCTTGGTTCATGCACTTTCCTCTCCAGTTGCTCTGATGTAAACCGTTCTAAGTATGATCATCATCCCATGGATTTCATATATCCTCATACCGATACTATATAAAAACAAATCCAGACTCACAAATTGCTCTACTAACTCTGACTACTTTCCGCCAATAATTCAGTTTGGTATTAAAAGGCTTATTAAAATAGGAAGGTTCGCCGAAGTTGTGGCTGCACTAGATAAGCTCTGCACAGCCTCCGCTTTCAACTCCTTTTTTGCCGCGTCCAACTTGGAAACGCGTATAGGCCTCCAGATTTGGTTCTTTTCACGCTGGAAAGCAAGCACACATAGTTCAAGTTCGTGTTATCCATTGTGTTCTCGTGCCGTAAATTTACTCCTCAAGTCAAATTTTGTACCCAGAGAACTCACAAGCTGGAACAAAAATGCCAGTTCCAGTGGAGGTTGAAGGATTGCGTAAAACACCGTAACTATGCATGTATGTACATGTACATACATAGCGACACTTTAGTAAATAGGAGACGGGAATGTGTTAAACTGCATGGGGGCAGAATAGATCAATACTACACAACATACTTAAAAAGAAACATGGACTTTAATCACTTTTTTTTCCAGTGAATCTTGGAACACCGAAGTAACGTAGCAACCTTTTTTTTCACAGGGTTATTTGAGGTTATGTACTCTCTCTCAACGTCTGAAACTCTATATGCAACACCAAGCGCCAGGCGGGCAGGGTAGACTTAAAACAAAACACTCATTTATTTTTTCGAAACTTGACCTTTGCGAAAAAAGAAAAAAAAAAAGAAAAAACCAGAAATAAAATATTTCTTATTCAAGGGGAGAGAGAGAAAAAAAAAAGGGGGGGGGAGAATAAAAAGAAATGGGAACTGTGAGGCTCGAACTCACGACCTCAGGATGACTCCAATGTTAAACTGGATCATATTTCGACGAATATGAGACCTGCGCTCTTCCAACTGAGCCAAGCTCCCTGTTACAGGATTATACATTCTTTTACCACGGAATTTCCAGTTATATCAATCTTCCCATCCCCCTGCACGGCCTATACATGCAAATCGATTTCACATCTAGAGTATGTACAGACAGTGCATATATTGCTCAGGGCACAACGCGATTGCGAACTACAAAGTTTTAAGAGAAATATGTTATTCCCTCATTGATTGTTAATAAAAGGCAGATTTATTTATTATAGTTGCAAGTTCTCAGCCTTTTTTTTCTTTTTAAGAGACCAAACAGTTGATTGGTGTTTAACATTAGAAGTAAATAAATGAGAGGTATAAACCACCTTTTTTTTTTTTTTTTTTTTTGGTAACAAAGGATAATCCATCCGGATGCAAAGCTTCATGAATTCCGAACTATTTACTATTTAAAGAGAAACAGAAAGTGCAAAACTGCGGTACATAATTCTTTGTTGATGCAGTGTCTGTCTGTGTGTACTAATCTAGTGACGGTGATACTACTCCTATCACATTTATGTTATTTTGTAAATAATCTTGCAAGGTTTGTTGATCTCTTCCATCCAAAATAAGGGAGAAATTTAAATCTTCCGTGTATTCCTCTAGCTAATATTTCTAACCTTGTAAGTCTAGCTAAATATTGTAACGTTCAATCATAACAAAAATAAACATATGAAAATAATCGCTTTCCTTTCCTTCCGTTCCCATTCGTAAATCACATTTTCTACATCACACCGGCGCCTCCATCACCCCTGCCTTCAATTTAGTCAGGGCATCTTCGTACATGCCAGGACTGTGATCAGTCAACATGCTCATCCCAAATCTAACCTCCCTAAATCTCTTCTCAACATCTCTCACATATCTAAGCACAACCCTGTGTGCCGGCCGTCCAAAGTGCTCCTCCCCATCGAGCAAGAAGGCATCTCTCCTCAACACCCTGGTGGTTTCAACAACAAAAACCTCACCGGGTGGTACCAACTTCTGGCTCATCATGCTCGCACGAAGCACCTTTAGGGCAGCATAGGCCCACTGCTCGTCATCGGCTTGTTGGGAATCGGCGGGCTTATGGCCACTACCATGCCACTGATGAGAGAAGCCATCGTGCAGAGCTTTGAGAATCCGCTGCCGCACTTCATCCTTGGCTTGATTATTGTCAGTTTTGAAAGCAAGCGAGATAGCTTGGAAATCGTGGAGGACACCGAGCGAGAGATATGGAACGAGATCATTTCCATTGACAATGCTGGTAATCAATCCGCGGGTGGCCTTGCTCAGAGACGACGACATGGTAGAAGGCGGTCCATACGCAAAGACATGGACTGGTCTACCCGACGGCAGGCAAATGTTCCCGGGTGGAGTCGTAGGAGTAACCCCATCACCAAGCAACTTGGTGTGAGGGTCGGCCGAGGTGACAAACGAGGTACCCGGTGCAGGTTCTGAAAGCATGACGCCCAGAAGAGCCGTCACAGCACCACCAAGCGAATGGCCCGTCAATACAAGGCCGTAGTCTGTGTACTTTTCCAAAGCTTGCTTGAGGATGTTGAGCACCTTGCCATCGCCGCCGTAAAGTAGGCGCTTGGCTGATGCGTGAACACCCTTGTGGACTTTGTATGGCTTGCCCCTCCAGACGAGGTCGTCATAGTCGCAGGTCATATCAGCGAGCACATCCTCAAATCCAAGCGTCCCTCGGCAAGCCAGGACCACTGCTTTTGATTCGTGATCCAGAGAAATGTAATGAACGAGGGGAACACCGGTGTTGGTTGAGCCGGTGCCATCAGAACCGCCTTGGGTATCAACAAATGAACAGAGCAGAATGCTCTCAGCTTCTGATTCGGTGTGGTGAGCGAAGCAACGAAGCTCATGATGGGTATCGTCCAGAGCCCTCAATATCGGCATCTCCTTGGCGATACCGAGAACTCGAAGAAAGCTGGATCCGTAGGATGCCGAGGCAAATCTCATGTACCGGGTAATGTTGTTCAGGAAATGATCTCTAGGGAAAATGTCCTCCAGTCTGCCAGCTTGCCGAAGAGTCCCCAATGCTTCATCGTCGAACGCACTTCGGCTGCTGTAGCCATGGAATGGGATCAATGACGCCTGAGACTCGTTTGTCCTGAGAGTATAAATGCTTGGCCGATAGAGGCGAGACTTTACGCGTCTATGGTTTGACTGTGGGCTACCACCAAGTGCACTAGCAAGCTCCTTATCTGAGCGTGCATTCTTGGTAGTAGGGGCATTATCCTCATATGGCGTCACCGGCCGATAGTCTTCCCCAGTTGCGATGTGATAAGTTTCAGTCTGAGAGATGGAAGAGTCTCGGCGACTCTCGTGCACTGAAATATAACTGGCTCTGGAATCGCATCTAGTTGAGGACCGCCGAGATTCCGCGGTGCTCGGCCGGCTTTTGTGAGTGGGCACTGATGATAAAGGATCCCTTTTTGGAATGAGTGACGATTGCCGAGCAGGAACGGAAAGGTGTAATGATGGTCTGCCGTTGGTTAGTTGGCGTTGCGTGCTAGCAACCGTGGGTCTAGCAAGACTGTCTACGAGGTGCTTCCCCTTTGCTTTGCCAGCGCCAGCATCCGAACTCGAGTCATCTTTGTTAAAGATGGACCCCGATCTCTGGAATGCTCTTCTAAAGCCACTGCTCTTTTTGGATATTCCAGCCTCCTCCTTGGTTTTGTAGGAGGGGAGATACCGATTCAACGATTGCTTTCTAGAAGGCTCGCTTGAGCGGGTGTTATCTTTGGCCGAGGAGCCAGTAGGGGGGATACGGGGACGTTTTTGGTTGGCAGTAGTTTCATGCCCGTATTTGGACGATGACGGAATGCGAGACGAGCGAGAGGTTGAGTCGGGAGAGATGGGAAGGCCTGAACCGGAGAAACTTGGTCGACGCGGCGCACCGGATCGTTCCCTGGATGGCTTTGGCGGAACAATAGGAGGTAGGTCTTCCATCTCGGCATCCGAAGTTTCGGACGACTCTGTATCCAGCTGTTCAACATAACCCGGGACCTGGCTGATATCACCATCCTCTTTCTGAAACGAGGTCCGTCTTTCTTGGCTGCGAGAATGTCGGAACACATAACGAGAATCATGAATGGCCTTGTCTGAGCGGCTACCTGGCCGCAGTGAGGATTTCGAAAGAGCTTGTCGGCCATCCCAGTTCTCTTCAATCAGCTCAACCCCCGGTGGTGTTTCGACTCTAACGTCCTCAGAACCGCCTGTAACCTCGACTGTGATGATCTCGGTGGTTCTAATCTGTCTGGTAATCGACACTCTGGCGTTGTCGGGCATGGATCTCATGATCTGTCGCTCCAGCTGAAGGGCAGGGATACCATTGACGTCGTCATCGTTTGTCGGTATCGGCAAATTCTCCGTCATAATGAGAGTGCCTTCTGGGGCGTCGCTCTGGGCATATGCACCGTTGTGAACGCCGTAGAGACTCTCATCGTGTATATCGACCCGTATGCCATCACTTGAAACGACAACATCCCATATTACCTCCTCAATACGAAGTGCCCGACTTTCTTCTTCTAATGAGCGGCGAGACCACCTTTGCAGGTAGGCCATGCCGCAAAGGCCCAGCATGAGATCCAAAACCCCAACCTTTTCCCCCGGTTGACCTGTAGCTGGATTCTGAAATTCACGGCGGATGAGAGTGATGATGCTAGCCATGGCTCTGGAGGAGTCGGTTGAGCCAAAGAACTGATCGAGGGTTGAGAGGAGGAGTTGGGAGCTGTCAGAGAATAAGGCAAGGGTTGTGCCCGTCATGTGGAAGCCGGTAGTGGTCCAGAAGACGATCTGGGACATGGTGCGGTGAAGGTTTTCGAGGCTTCTCTCGAGGATATTCTCAGCATCGGCCCTGCCGAGCTCTGACTGGGAGCCGGAGACAACATCTTTGCCTGCCCTGCTGAGTACCGTCCCGAGGATGTTTCGTCCCAGTTCCAGGCTGGATAAGGTAGTGAATTTGGCAGCGTCGAGTCCATAGCCTCCTATTACCGTGCCCATACGCAGGGCGAGACTGGTGGACCTTGTTGCGAGACTGACGGCTTTTGCTATCGGGCTTGGAAGGAGGGTGTTGCCCGGATCGGAGACTACGATTTCTTGGAGCTGGGTAGTGATGCGCCTGTCATCGTCGTCGTGATCCAGCTCAACACTGATGGGGCCATGGTTTCCAAAGATCATTGTAACAACGTCAACAGTGCCGTTGTCGTTGTCCTCTTGCACAAGCAGCCATGGACGGAGAAAAAAGAGATAAACAGATAGAATCGGGGAATGAATTCAGGGACACCTTAGGAAGGGGGCCAAAAAAGGTTGGTAAGCCTTGAAGAAGAAATTTTGTGAAATCATGCGTTACCACCGGCGCGCTGGCAGCATTCCATCTCTCTTCAACTGTTTTATTTTGGCTTCGACGCTAATTTAGCATGTGATGACGCCCACCAAGGGGTTATCGGGTCATCTGCCGACGATTTAAGGGCAACACTTGGGGAGGACTTGCTCCGTAGCGGCCGACTCCAACTGCCAAAGAACTGTCCAACCCCGCGTTTCGCAGCTGTGCAGCAAGATCGCCACGTTGAAGTTTGCCCAGGGGCAGAGATTGGGTTTCGACCAGCAGGTGGATCCACCACGTTGCTAATGATGACAGAAAACGACAGAAACGAGGTACACAGTCCCATTTACCATTAGCGTTATGACGCCTGGGAGACATCACCTTTTACCGATCATCGAAGACCCGGGCTCTCGGGTTTTTGTCGACCACACACCAGCGAGGTGGAAGTGGGTGCCCATCTTTGAAGGTTGTGGGAATAAAGAAGTAGTTCCTCGCATCATGTCAGCAAACAATGCGGTGGCTTCCCAGTGGTTAGCGTGCTCTAACAGGGCTGATGTGGTGCTGTTTTGCTGCCTGATCGGAATCTTCCATCGCTCACCACAGCGGGGCTGGGTGCCCCTCAGGTCTCAGACAGGGAGGTTGAATGGGGGTTCGGATTCTCTCCATACCAATTGTTGACCGCTTCGCAATT